ACTTATGGTTTGCACTCTTAAATATACCTCTGTTGAAGGACAATACACTTCTCTGGTACAATCTAATTTCAATGTGTATCTGAATAATATCAATCTGTGGTGTAAATTATAAATTGAAATATCACGACATTTAAAAGATCAGATAAAATGTCATTGTCATTTAATATCATATCATTTTTACTATAGAGATTTAGGAATATTATAAAATGTTATCGTTGAGATCATCAGTCAGTTGAAGCTAGACCACAAAGGAAAATCTGGAAGTACTGGACGATCGTTACGTCCTAGTATCGGACTCATCAGTAGTGAGCACCCATGATCCCGCCACGTGAGGTTCGAACCCAAGGCCGAGCGCTTATCCTCTAGACCACTGAGCCAGCCGGTATCCAACGATGTTAATGTCTAACTTCTGTGAAATTGAGCCACCGTTCACCATTGTCTTCGATGAGTTACTATCTCACAACAGATCCAGTTGAACTCCACCGGTCAGTGTTACTCACTTGAACACCAGGAAATACCTCCTGAAGCCAGTCACTAGTGAGCATATGCTAATTAATATCAGAAGGGGTTTTTTGTCAATTACGAGAAATAATTATTACAAAATAAAATCAATCAAAATTAATCAATTGAATGAGACTATATGATTATCAGTGTAGAGTTGTGGAGATTGCTAAGTTTTAATTAAGATCATGGATACACACTGTTGAAGAGTCCTATACAATCATGAAACGGTCCGTTCGGTACTTCCACGTTTTCAATAATGGTCTATCATTGATCGGTTCATGATCTCAATTAAAACTATATAACTATAATAATTATATCAAGTTTACAATAAAACATATTAGATTCACACCAGACTTACGAATCCAAACATCATCCAACTTGGACAGAATGAAATTACTAGATACATAGTGATTCATTGAATCAAGGGGTAATCAATGGGGAATTAATGTATGTAAAAGTTTGTATCCATAGTTTTACTCTTTGTAATAATAGGGAACAATAAGCATAATCAACTATGTTTTTCTTTATGAAGTTAATGTAATTCAATCAGTATATCCATGTACATTCTTGTAGGAACCAGGTAATCGTTAGGTTAGTGCATATTAGATTCCTAAACATTAGACGATCACAGTTAAACTGACATCTTAGCTACAAAACAATGAAAGTATTCATATTAGACGAATACTATTCTTTAAGTTTATATAATTCAGTGATGAAATAGTTCAGAAGTAAGTCTCAAGTGGTTTTGTATTCTAATTCATGTATTTAACCTATCCACTTAACCTTTAATATTACCAGCCAATCTTGTCCAAAACATTTACATAATACCCATCACTTAAGGTCAATTAAATCACATGTTTATAAATTAGGTCTAGGTCAGTGTATCTATTCATTGTTAATTGACTTAAAAATTAAGTGGATTATTTGAACTTAAACATTAACATCGTTGGATGTCGGCCGACTTAGTGGTCTAAAGGTTAAGCGTTCGCGCACGAGACCGATAGTTTCTGGATTCGAATCTCACGAGGCTGAGTCGTTGATGTGCACTGCTGAGGAATCCGATACTGGGATGAAACAGCCATCCAATACTTACAGGTTTTTCATAGTGGTCTAGCTTTAATTGATTCATGATCTGAATCATTAAAATTAAAAATTAGGGTTTAAAAAAATCTTAATGACTGCAAAATTCCCATCATACGATAACGAAGATAAATGAACAATGAAAATTCATTCTGTTAAACTCTTTTCATATTCTACAATTACAGATGTAAATTAATGATCTAAACGTTAACCAGGTTTAAAGCAAGATACATTATTAGAAATTATAGCATGTGACATATGTTTATTTTACCTTGGCCAACTTCTGACCTAATTATTTTATAATCATTCTCAGACATAATTCCATGAATGGTCATACAACCTTCTTCTTAGGATTTTCATAGCTTAAACTGATCTTAATCATATTTATTATTGTAAAGCTTATGCCACAGGGAATCGAACCGAGAGCCTTCGAACTCGCGCTCGAATGCTTCGTCTGTAGACCAATGAACCGGAATTTAGTAATGGTTATATTTAACTTAAATTAATTGATGGTATTACGTGGCTATTTTTCACTGCCTACTGTCAACGACATGGTTGAACATCATTGATCACGACTTCTCACTAGAACTCAAGGAGTTGTATTGTTTTTTTGGGGGGGATGCTAATTGATATCACAAGTTGTATTGCTAGTAGCACCGGTGATTTATTTATTAATTGTCACCTCGATCAATGAATAACACCTAAAATGTTATTGTTTATTGGTCCTCGATCACTTGTAACCTATAAGCCAATCAGAATACTCAGATATGATGTAAACCAGTTCTCTATTGTATTCAGTTTAGCTATAACTCAAAATGTATGGAATTGTATATTTGACTACATAGTAAACCAAACAACAAATCATACATAGATAAAATCAATATATAGGTGATGGAGGGTGTAGTAAACAGTATATAATTCACTATCAATAACTAAGGAATAGTAAAACATATAACGACAATTGATAGGTCCACTAGAACTTTACAATAAATGGAATATAGAAATTAAGAACTGCACTTATCTACTAATTATACGATGAAAAATAGTTCCAATTATCTCAGTATTCATCCCCTTTATAACAAGTTGAGTCTTTAAACTAGTCACTAGTGAGCATATGTGATTACTATTAATGTAGATGGATTTAAAAAGACTATAAAAATTTTCATAGATTAAATTCATGAGTCAATCTAGGCTGGACCATGATTGAAAACCTGGAATCACTGAATGGTCATTTCATCCTAGCATCGGATTCCTCAACAATCACTCAATCAGTGGTCTTGAGTGCTGTTAGAGGTATGAGGGCGGTTATCATTTCCCGGTTGCCCACACCTTGGAAAGGTTCTTCTGGAGTTACCTGAAAAGGGAATTGGATTAGAGGTGGTCTTAGTGACCTGAGAGCGTGACCACAGTGCTCAAGGGACAACTGCTTGAGGTCTGTCACACACGACCTTTTTCTGAGTAATTTTTGTGTTAGCTCCGTACTTGTTGAGACCTTACCGCCGGAGACAGATATCCGTGGGATAAGGCGAGGTGTTTATTTTTAGGGTCGACATTTTCTAACCCCACCTCTCGTTGTGGGAAGGCAACATCGCTGTCATGCTGGTTGTGTGAAAGAAAGACCTTACTGCTGTCACAGCTCTGTAAAGCCAGCAGTGCGACTTCGCATTCGGACATTGGGATTATTGCTTTCAGTCTTATCGCTCTTCAACCGACCAGTCTGATATGGTAGGACCTTGAGGAACGGCTGTTCCAGACAGTATAGTTCGGTTGCTTCATCACGATAGGCAAGCCCGAGCACCACGTCAAGGTAGCAACAACGGTCGGTCCTCAACAGTGCACATCTACGATTGACTAATGAATTCAACTATTAAAATTAATACAATCTCTCCATATACATATAACGAAAAAAAACAGATACTTCATTTAGATCAATACAATATAAAAATAATCCAGACTGTGATTGCCTACAGTGTATTTCCTCAACAACAACAACAATAACAATAACAAGAAAAGGAAACCACTCGGAAACAATATGATAAACAAATTCATAACAATCACAATTTATCATTACGATTTAATAAAAGAAAACTTAATGAATTTACTCAACCCAAAATATCAGACTCATTTTAATGTCTCCCTCTCTCTCTCTCTCTACATATATATATATATAAGGTTCTTTTAATTAGAATTTTATCAATCATGAATTAAGCGAATACTATAAATAGAATTAATATTTAATAATCCAATTCATGAGTCAATTGAAGCTAGATCACTATGGAAAATCTGAAAGTTCTGGACGACCTATTGTGGGACATCTCAGCAGTGCAGATTCACGATCCCGCGTCGTGAGGTTCGAACCCAAGACCTATCAGTCTCGTGCACGAGCGCTTAACTTCTAGACTATTGAGTCAACCAGTATCCAACGATGTTAATTTCTAATTTCAACTAATCCACGAAATTGACCGACACATCCACGATTGTCTTCAATGAGTTACTACCTCACAAATGACACGGTTAAACTCCACTGGTGATGATTTTCACTAGAACTCCAAGAAATACCTCTTCAAACTAATCCCTTGTGAGTATCTATTGAATAATATCAGAAGGGGTTTTATGGAGATTGTAGTAATTTAATAATTGAATTCATCAGTCCATTGAATCTAGACTACCATAAAAAAACCCAGAAGCACTAGACCATCGTTCTCTCGCAAGATTGATAAATCCTGGGTTCGAATTTCGCGATGCGAGATCATTGATATGCACTGTTGCCAAATCACATACTACACATGAAACGACTGTTCAATGCTACCAGATATTCCATGGTAATCTAACTTTAATGAACTCGTGAATTCGACCATTGAAATGACTATAATCTCCACAAAAACCCATGTCTGATATTTAATATTTATTTATTGATATGAATAATTGAAAATCTTTTCAATGGTTAAGATCATGAGTCAATTGAAGCTAGACCACCATGAAAAACCTGAAAGCACTGGATGGCCGTTTCATCCTATTGTGGAACTCCTCAGAAGTGTGCAATAGGACGAAACGGCCGTTCAGTTTTTCCAGATTTTCCATGATGGTCTAACTTCAACTGACTCATGATCGTAACCATTGAAATGACTACAATCTCCACAAAACCCTTTCTGATATTAAAACTTATTTAATGAAACAAACAATAACAATAATCAGTATGAAAATTATATCGTTGGCTTTTATCATTATCATTATTATTATTATTATTATTATTTAATCATATTTCCCTTCCCCATTTTTCATAATATTTATCTATTCCATGTTCATTGATAATAATCATTGAACCAATAGAATGATCATGATTATCATTAGTATTATTATTCAAAACTCCCCACCTATCTACTATATAAAGGAAGAAGAAGAAGAAGAAAAAAAAACAAAGATTACTTAGTATAAATATTCAACTCATAAAATTGAATGAAAACATCATTTGAATACAATCAGTAATTATGTCCTATGATCATTACTCATTATAATTCATCGTTATTCATAACATTTATTGGAGATTATTCCTAATATCAATTTGACAAGTTACCATAGCAACAAGATCATTCACCTTGACCTTAGTGATTAAAACAATAAATAAAAAAATGACAAAACATATTCTATTTATTCATTTATTCTTATTATTTATGATTATTTATATAATTATATTCAATATAAAATATATGAAATGTACTACAGTCAATGATTTATTAATTTATCCTAATCGACATAAGAAATTATTTAAGATAATTCATTATTTAATTAGACAATGTGCACCATATTGTTTAAATTATGGTAAATTAGAAAAACCAGATATGCCATGGAAAAAATGTTATTGTTTATGTCCTGATAATTATTATGGGATTGCATGTGAATTTAATCGAAATCATGAAGAAATCGATATTGATAATGGTAATAATAATAATAATAATCATGGTAATGATAATCAGTTACTAAGCAATATGCATCATCTTAAATCAAATTCATTACCATTTTCATATGGTCGTGCATCCTCAACATCGTCAGCAGCAGCAGCAGCATCATCTTTCCTTACACCAACAATGAACAATAATCATAATAATCAAGCAAATGATAATGATCAACAATTGATTTTTGTAAAGTAACTTATGTCATTCTACCTTCTGTTGTTGTTGTTGATGTTGTTGCTGTGGTTTTGATGAACCATGAAAAATAAAAAAATAAAACACAAAAAAGAATGAATGAAAATATATTGATCGAAAAATGCAATAATTACAAAAAAAATAAATATTTTTTTAGTATCAAAGGGGGTTTTGTGGAGATTGTAATAATTTCAAAAGTTGAGATCATAAGTCAATTAAAACTAGACCACCATGGAAAACATGGAAGCACTGGATGGCCGTCTCGTTCTATTGTTCGACTCCTCAGCCGTGCTAATCCACGACCCCGCCTCGCGGGATTCGAACCCAGGACCTATCAGTCTCGCGCCAGGCGCGAGTAAGTTTTATCAGTGAGATTATTATTTATGGACAACCTTTGATTGTTCACCTAATAACTAGGACTAAATGACGGTTATAAAGTAGTTTGAAGAATAAGGATTATGATTTACCGTTAATGCTTAAAGTTAAGAATTGGATTTAGGGTTTTTTTCAGTTATAATGCCAAAAGTCTATTTAACCATTAATGAATGAATGAATTTCGTGTCAAAATTCAAGATCTATTATCTTATATCTGATTGATTCGTCCATAAATTATAATCTCGTTGTTTTATCTTTTCTGTCATTTAAGTTACGAACTTGATTTGAGCGAGGTTATAAAACAAAAATAGTAATGAATTCAATTATTCATTAATAAGAAGAGAATGATTATTTTAAATGAAAAAAAAGCAAAAGTGGATAGTGGCTAGCAGTGGAATCCAGGACGCGCGTTTCGTCCTGTTTGGGACTCGTCAGCTGGATGTACCTGCATCTCAGAGTTGATGTTCACTCTGGGATTCAAGTAAAACAATATCAAGTGAATTATTTTAAATGATGTTTAAATATAGATTATAAGATAAGTACGAAATTCCAATTCTGTCCGGTTCATCTGTTGAATATTGAATAGCTGAGTTTGAGTAACTTACCGATCGGAGGTAATAAAAGATGGTCGAGCAATATCATGGATTAATTAAACTTAAACTTGTATACTATTAAATGATAACTGAGTGGTTTAGAGATTAAGTGCTCATACACGAGACTGGAAATGTTAGTTTTAACTTGTGATTGTAAGTTCGTGGACATGGACTTCTTAGGAATCTCATACTAACACGTAATAAATATTCAGTACGTTTAGGCTTCAAATGGTTATTTAGGTTTGGCCGGTTGATAATATCAATAAACCTATTGATTAAAGATAAGAACAAACTACGTCGAGAAGCAGATATGAAAAAGATGAATAACAACTGGAAGGAGCTGGAAAGGATTGCTCAGGACAGGATTGGATGGAGAATTCTGGTGAGCGGCCTATGCTCCTTCACAAGGAGTAACAGGCGTAAGTAAGTAATAAGGGCGTTTATTAATTACTAAACTTTTCATTTCATAATTAAAAGGGTTAAGATAATAATAAAAACTGTGATAAAATTGGAAATGAGTAATGAGTAGTAATCAGTGTGCAATTAGTTACTTAGTAAATAAATTCTTAGAAAGTTGTCATATGAATACGTAGAATTAAATAGCTATAACCAAGGGATATAAATAATTTGTTGAATTGCATGATTAATTCTTCTTAAGATGTGATTATTCCTTGTAGATGATGGTACAAGAATAACTTACGTATGTTAGTTACACTCTAATCAGTTATGTTTGTATCCATCAAATCGAGTATATGCATTTGAATATAACAGATTAATTTTGTTCTGTATTACAGATCGTATTTTGCATAGTGTATTGATAGGATAAGATTAGCATGGCTCCTGCTCAAAGATGACACACAAAGCCGTGAAGCACTCCATTTGGTGTATTGATGAAAATTACTTAAGTATTCACAATAATGTAAAGATATACAAAGTAACGATTAAGATTGTTTCACAGATTGAAATCATAAGTCAATTGAAGCTAGACCACCATGGAAAACCTGGAAGCACTGGACGGCCGTTTCGTCCTAGTATGGGACTCCTCAGCAGTGCGCATCCACGATACGCCCCCCGCGGGATTCGAACTCAGGACCTACTGGCTTCGCGCGTGAGCACTTAACCATTAAGATGGTTTATTAAAGTAAACAAGTCTTTGTGCTTCTTTCATTTGCCCTGATTAAAACAAATAATCATCATTGAGGTTTTTGGTTTTGATGCCAATACATGAAATATGATTGGAGGTGAACTAGTGTAGTAAGATATAATAGCTTTTTATAATCAGGAATTATTTTACATGGTGTAATATAGAATACAGACTTTTGATTTCTACATAAAAACACTTATTGATAAATGTAATTACTTACTGACTTACTTAGGCCTGTTACCCCTGGCTGAGGAGCATAGGCCGTCCACCACCATTCTCCATCCAGTTCTGTCCTCAGCAATGTTTCCCGGTTATTTCCAGTTGATATTCATCCTGTTCATGTCTGCTTCCGATTAGCGACGCAATATATTACTCGGCCTTCCTCTTTTCCCTTTCCCCTCCTGAATCAAAGCACTTGCCTCATGATGCAGTTTGTTGATTTCTGTAATGTATGTTCTATCCACTTCAAACGTCATTTCCCGATTTCCTCCCCAGATAGAAGCTGGTTTGTCCTCTCCCATAGTAATTTGTTGCTGATTGTACCCGGCCAACGGATATTGAGTATCTTGCGTAGATAATTGTTTACAAATACTTGTACCTTTTTGATGATGGCTGTAGTAGTTCTCTACGTTTCATAAATGCAGGTTAATCCTTAAAAAGTGAACATTTTACATGCAAAATTCATCCAATTTGAATGAAGAGTAGAATTTATTCAATATTAGATGTTGAAATGATTCATTCAATTTGTTTTCCAGCTTTTAAGTCTGCGGATTTGTAGAGATTATAGTAATTTTAATAATTGAATTTATGAGTCGATTTAAGCTAGACCACCATTGAAAACCTAGAAGTACTTGATAGCTGTTTCGTCATAGTATGGGACTCCTCAGTAATGCGCATCTACGGTCCAGAATGTGAACGCGCACATTTGAGTCTAGGATTTAGTATTGTTTGGTAAATGATAGACGAATTCATCTGTGACAGTGTGATTTGTAGGCCTTATGCATGATGTATGTAACTCCAATAACGCATGACGGGTTGAGAACTTGAAAACTTCAGATTTTTCCTTTGGAAACAATCAGATAGTACCATAAACAGATATTAATGTTTGGGAAGAGATTGTATTTCTCAGAGCTATACAATACTTTCATTTTCTTTCTGTTTAGAAACTAGAAATCAACTGTATGTTGTATAAATTTATCCAGTTAATTTACTTGAATTAATATGGACAATTTCAATTACACCTTTTGTACAAACAATTTTTAAGCATATTAAGTTTCTTAATAATTGAAGCTAGACCACCATGGAAAGCCTGGAAGCAATCGACGATCATTTTGTCCTAGTATAGAACTCAGCAGTGTGTATCTACAAGTTTTGTCTACTTTCAGTCAATACAATGAAAATTATTGGACTTAATAAATACAAGATCATTCATATTAATCAACAGTAAAAGAGGTCTGTTGTGTCTCTGAATAAGAAAGAACATAATTCAGTGAAGAGAATTTCCTCTACTTAAACTGTACAGTTGGATTTATCATTAATTTTATTTACTCAAACAATAGTCTGTTTTCGAAACGTATCTCCAAACATTACCCTACCTGATCTTCCAAAGGATTACAGAAGTCAATCAAAAGCTTAATTACTTTACTCTGCCAGAAATCTCCTTTAATATCATATAGACAGTTAGAAGAAGTGGATCAGTAGGAATGAAAATGAAAAACTTACGCAAAAAACAGAGGCTACTGCTATCCATTATCTCAAGCCTAACCTTTGAGTACAAAAGTAGGATGTTTATTCCCTTATTCTCCCATGGTTTTAACCTCCCTTTCTATCCTTCATAAGCTATCGTTTGTTAGTTTTATATTCCATTACTTATACTCCTTTCTAATTAGTTGCACAACTATCATTTAGCAATTTTTACAACTTTTAATCATTCTATTCTTAATAGCTGTCAAGAGGATAATAATCTACACTTTATTACTTTTCACTAGCCGATTATTACATAACTTCCTTTCAATATCAATAGTGAATGACAATAAAGCTTGTGAGATCCATGATGTGTATGTAGAAAATAGATCAATCTGAAAGCTGGTAGAGAATATTCAACAGGCACAATGTCTAGTATACTGTCAATTTATTGAAATCTAATTAGAATCTAAGTGAACCATAATTCGAACTCTCTCATATTATTGGAGTTGAATAGTTTGTCAAAATGAAGTTTATCCTGGTCCGTGTTTATCTTCTTCCCTGTGTTATGACTTTACGCCCAGCTAGTTATCACGTGACTTATCCACCAATCGAAAAACGACTTACTGAATCTTAATACTGTACCAAATCAATGACATTCGACCGGTATGAACAGCCTGGCGTCCTTATTGGTTCCTCGTTCACCTAGCCCATCTAGTTGAGTCCAGAACACCAATAACAGCTTCTACTATGCGAATTACTTATTTCAAACATACTTGGTTTATATACCAACCAAAGAGACCTCATCACATGATAAAATAGGAAATAACATTTATACAAGATCAAGCCAAAAAGTGGCTGTGAACGTGGGAGATTGTAATCAATAAACTTAACATAACTTAAGAACAGTAAAGCTTAACACAATAATCTATAGAGCAAAATGAAGCTTATAATAAGAGGAATATAGATATACACAATCTAATTAATGAAGTTATACAATAACAATGTATAGATATAATATTAGCCCATTAATAGGTCTCTGAAGCGACTCGTAATTTAATCTTCACTAGAATATAACAGTTTGAATAAAACAAATAGAGTCTATTTGACTGGTTGCAATAATGCTATTTATCTAGTTTGCTTAGTAACCCACCCTTAACTGTAATCTTAATGAAGCTGAACACAGGTGAGGACAACCGAATTGTATTTTGCACAAAATTACAGAGTCACTTGGTAAAATAGAAAAATCACACTATAATACTTCATTTGCAAAATGTTCAATAATTGTCTCGAACTTCGTTGTTCTTGCATTTCCATACTAATTGCTTTCTATTCCCGCTCTTCCTTT